TTAAAATTAAGATATTAACTGCTTAATTAAATTACACCTCATTAAACTTGACCCAAAAACCACAAGTTCTCCTACCTTTCTTCCAGCTTTTCTGATCTCCATCTAACACTCCCAATACTAATCTACCCGTGTGCAATCAAACAAATAAATCCACTTTCGTGTCACATACCGAAATCAATTTCTAATAAATAGTGTGTTTCTTCTGATTAAAACTAGTCGAAATCTATCTAATAGATACACATGCTCGTGAGTGGTTCAGCGACACGCACACAGCCGCACCGAATGAAGAAATATGAGTATGCAAATAGGCTTAAAGCGCACAATCGCAATCAAAAACGACAAGAACAATAACTAACGTAGCGGTAAAGTGTTTAGACACGCAATGTCAATAAAGTATCTTATCTGCGGAGCATACATTGAGCGGGCGATGGATACGGATACGATACTCGCACTCATTCCCATTCTGAATCTCATATAAGGCACGACATCGGCGTTATTCTTTTTTTCCCCCCTTTTGCGGGGGAGGAAGGGGAAGCGGTGAAAGGGGCGGGGAAAAGCGGAGCGCGGGCCATTCAATAATGCGTGCCTAAGAATTCTGATTATATATCTCACGGGTCGAGCTCAGAACAAAAACCAAAACAATGTCAAAGGGTTCGGTTTTGTGGCGGACAGCCGGCTTTAACTCGAAGTTTGCGTGATACACTTGAAATGAAAAATTTTATTGAAACTGTAAGGAAGGTCCTTGTTTTTAAAAATATTTTTTATATTATTTTGTTATATCAATTTAAGCAGAATATCAGGATTGTGTTATTTTAAATCTTTCGAGATTGAACAAAATTTACTATAGATGGTCAAGCATATTTTATTTATTGTTTCGTTTTGAAAAAATTACATTATTAAACGGAAAAACAAGGACAATCTATTTTTTTCATTTTGTTAATGACAGATTACGAGATATGTCCTTTAAATACATTAAAAACAAATTTAAAAAAGATGAGTTTGAGTTGCGTAAAACCCAAGATTTCAATGTTACTAACTGACCTTTTGCTCCAATTTTCCAACAGATTTCTCAGTGTACGCAGTGTTTATGTGAATGGAGGAGAGTTTGTGTTTGTGGCAGTGATCTTTGCATGTTTGAAAAACATTTTAGCATTCAGGGCGTGGCAAGTGCGTAGCAGCGGACATACCGACAAACAGAATGGCAGTTGAGGGACGAGCGGGGAGACGGGGTTACCGGCGGATAGATAGACAGACAGCGGGTCGAAAATTGCAAATTGAAATGTTACAGTTAAGCACGTATTTGGCCGTGAAGCCCGGAGCTCCGTTGCCATGTGTTTGTGGGTGTGTATGTGTGTGTGTGTTTGCAGCAATAAATCGATGCGATGTATAGATTTCAGCTGGATTCACTCCGGGCGAAAGCGGAATCATTCCCCATAAACGCTAATGAGCCGCAGCACGGCAACCTCACAGATTCGCGGAGTGGCCGAGATGCAGATACCCTTTGAAGATACACTTTCGCAGGGTCGCAAGGTCAACTGCAACTGAAGTGCTCGCTTAATATGCAATTCCATCGATTCCGATGCCATAATTCATTTGAACGTGTGATTTCCATGCTAATTGATGGCATATTTATGGATTGGTTGTCCTCCCACAGAAGTGGGTCTTTTGTAAGCCAGGGCGCCCCATTGATATGCTAATTTTAATGGCCAAATAATCGCATGTATCTGGCTTGTAACAGCCTAATAAATTGATTAAATTCTTTGGCATTTATTAGGAAGTTGTCATTAAGTCATCGGTGCGATGCTGCCATTAATTGCTGCCTTCGACAAGCAATTCGTTAGTCTGAAACAACGCGCAAACACGCCGAAAAACAAAGCCAAGTTAGCATTTGGCATACTCGTATGTAAATTAGCCAGAGACGCAAAGTCGCAGACACTCCTCCAGCGATTGGTATAATAAATGTTGGAGCCGAGAGAAACACATGTAAGGCATGTGGAAATGGGATTTTAAACGCTTAAGCCGAAGTAGCTGCTGTTGCCCCCGGTCCTCCAGTTTTGCATAGATATATATATCCCCGAAGTATCTGAAACTGATGCTGATGCTGATGAGACCCATGACGAATGCCCGGCAAATGCAAATGCGAATGGAAATGCTCACAATACACAATGGACTCGGGTTTCCTAGGAATTGGCCCCAAGTATCGCTTGCAGTTGTTGTTCCCATCTCATCTATTCTAGCACGCGATCCATTAGCCACACAGATGTATCTTTCGGTGCGGTTTGTTTACGTGGCGCAGATACATCTCTCGCTATTTTTACATTGCATCCCGCATAACTCCGTTCAATTCTAAACATTCCCTGTATTTCTTCTTAATTTGCTCGTTGCTCTTCTTTTTATTGAACAGCCCGGCAGTCAAAGAATATTTATTGTCGATATGACCACACCTATTTTATGGGCCAGCTTCCAGTTCACAGTCGGTGCCAAAAATAGCGGCAAATCCCTGGTGCTAAGTCCAAAATAAAAGCCAAGTCGGTGGGAAGTGGAGAATGTGACCGCAGATTGGTATATGTGCACTCGGGAAATTTTTTCCTTTTCTAAAATGATTTAAAGCAGATGAAAGGAGTCAGTTTTAAAGACTACTATAAGCTGAAAGTGAAATATCCTCGGATTTTTAAAGTAAGTTATTAAAAAACTATCTGTAAATTAAATAATGACGAAGATTAAATAAAACAACTAGAATAACTACATATAAGGTTTCCTTTTTTTTTTTAATATAATAACAATATAAATATGGAAATTTAAGGATTGTCTACTTCCCTTTATGTTTGTTGTTCAATTTCTTGTTTAAATAACATTAATCTATGAATAATCTTGAATTTATGAACTATTTTTGGGCTGAGCATTCCCCGATCTAATCTTAGAGATCCTTTTCCCCCAGTGTATTGGAAGAGGGAGTCTGGGAGTGGGCGGTGCGACTGAGTGCTCTGCCATCTCACTTGAGAATTCTCACACCTCGTGGCTGTCAGTCCAGGTTTTTCGGGACTTTCGGGAGTTGCATTCGGTTTATGTGGGGGATGGGATGGGATGGGATGCGGCGCGGCGCATTCACGTGCCAGGCTTTTGATCTGTTTAGCATTCCGTGGCACATCGGAAAGTCGTAACTATTGACACGATCTGGAGCACCAACAAAACTCCCAGGTCATTGGAGAGAAATTGCTGGCAATCGAATGCGTTTCATACAGCTCCACTCGTGTATTTGTTTGCATTAATTTGTATATGTTACTTTAACGATTTAATGCCCAGCACGGCACCGACCCGCCGCAGATTCCATGGAATCGGGGGCGATTCGGGGCGATTCCTGGCACCCAACGGAGTTCGATCCCCCATTCCCAGGTGATTGCACTCGGCGGGGATTTTACTCTGGCTTTTCGGTTTTGGCCGGGCGCAAATTGCTCGGGGGCTCCTTTACTACTTCCTCTCCGTATCAAATTGTGTGGATATTGCGCATCAATCACTTGATAAAGAACAACAATGGCGCACTCGCATGATGAATAACATCTGCTCTGCCCGAATCTGAATTAAGGCGCAATGTTTTGCCGCAAATATATTGTATGTCCGTCCATATGTGTGCGGGAGTTTATGGAAATCCACTTGAAAAGCCGCACCGACTTATGGACTTGTTTCGTCAAAGAATAAACACATTGATTGATAAGTGAATAATTCAGGCAAGCAAATATTGTTCGATTTAATTAATTTCCAATTGGCTGCCTTGGGGATTATTATTCATCGCGTAAACCATTTCCGACAGACCTCATTTCGCAGTTCTTAAAAATATTTGGCTTGGCCTAAACTTGCCAAATACTATAGTGAGATGGGTCTACATTTTAAGCAAAATAATTTATTTACTGCAAAAAGGCATTTCTTGGAAATCACAAGTTTTTTTTCAATTTCTTTCTTTTGAGTACCTTTTTGACAGGAAACTTAAAAAGCAACATCCTCCATAAAATATTTTAGTTGGATGAAATTTACATTTCCGTCAAATAAAGATGGGCTTTATTTTTTGAATAAAAATAACAGGTTATTCATTTCAAAATAAAACTTAAACGTAAATAAGCTAATTTGGTTTGCCTAAAAAAAATTTAAATATGATTCATTGTTGATAACATTCTGGCAAAACATGAGCTTAAATTTGATTCTATCGTTTGACATTTAAAGATTTTGTTTGGTCATTCTCGTACGGTACGTTTGATTGTATTATGCCCATTTGAGATACTAATATTTTGGCTAAAACAATATAATGTGCGATTTACTGTTGATAACATTTTGGCCAAACAAGAGCTTTAATTCGATTCTATTGTTAGTCATTTAAAGAGTGTTGTTGGTTATAGTCGTAAAGCAAGTCGCTTCTATTATTTCTGTTTTAGAAATGTTTTTCTTTAAGTCTAATAATTATCTTCAAAAGTGAGCCCTATGCTTGGGATTAACTTAATTTTTACTGTCTATCCAAACTTTCACAGTCGCCGCCAAGCGCTGAGAATATTTGCCAAAACAATTATTCATTTGTTAAGTAGGGAGTATATCTGCTGCCGATATGGAACATCGTGTAATCGTGTCTAGCACTAATTACTTTTACAGCGACAACTTTTATCGCCCATCGCAGCGAATATCCCCGGTTTGAGGGGCAATCTTTACGCATAAATAAGCACAATGGTGGGGGGTATTCTCGGCCACTAGGAGAAATTTGTCAAACCATGTTTTGGTAGTTGGTCGGACTTTAAAGGCGCAAAGATACAAGTACGATATACGCTGCTGTTAAGTTCCGAATACCGTATACCAAGTTTCGTGCGGTATTTCTCTTTTGGGGCGATTCTCTTCGTCTTCGCCTTCGCTTCGGCTGGCAGTTCGAATTTCGAGTTTCGAACTCAAATCAAAGCAGACGTCGCGAGGAAAACGCATCGACGAGTAGAACGCCGACGATGAATATCCAGTAGATACGCGAAGCTATAACGGTACACATGTTGCTGTCGGAAAACGCGAGCGGTCCAAGTGGAAATGTAGCCCAATCCGTTCGCTTCAGGGTTTCCATTTAAAGCGCTCCCTCGCACACACTAACACACCGAAACACCGACACACACACACTCTCTCGCATCGTAACGCACACCGACGCGCACCCACACACACACGCACACACACCATCGTACGCACAAGTGTTCTCGGCTCGAGCACGCACCACTACAGGCGCACAAGTGCGGTGTATCTGTGTGAGTAGAAGAGGTGTTTGGCATTGTGCTCAGATACAGGATTTAGTGGCCAAGTGCTTAATAAAACCATCATAAACCCCAAAAGCGTCGAAAGTGATAAATGCAAATTATCCATAATGAAATATAACCAATCGCAAATGTGTGTGGCCTCAAGGAGCTAACGATAATCTCGACAAATGGCCAAGTGGTAATGCATCCCCGGAGTTCATCTTACCGGTTTCCCAAAACTTAAAGTTTACCGCAAATATGAGTTAATGCATAAATATGTTCAATGAATATTTTGACTTAGATATAAACTTGTGCAAACCTTTATTGCCCCAACATAACATATCCCAATTAAAAGTTGGAATTATAACCACTTACTTACTAATTAAAAGGTACTATTTAAAAAAACCTGCCAAATTTCAAATGACAAGCTGAATATAAAATCGAACAATTAATAAAATCTTAAAAAATTCATGAAAATTAGTCACTGATTGAATGGTTAAAAATTGATTAATAACTTGCTTTAATTCACCCACACTGACATTCTGATAAAACGTTAACGTTAAATAAATTAGTAATTGAGTCCCCTGAAACCTTTGGAATAAAAAAACATTACTCTGCCCTCTAAAAGTTAAATTTAATTTTCAATCTGTAAGTAATTGCATTTCCAGAAACTTCAGAATTTTTAAACAAGTATTTAAATTATTTGATTAAAGTCCCGACAATAACTTGCTGTCTCTTCTACCGTATAAATTTGTGCTGCCTTAAACCTCAAGGATTAGCCAAAGGAAAATTAAAAAAAAAAAATATTATAAAAATCCCGACAGACTGAAATAGCAACAAACGTGGCCGCGGCTGACTTTGAAAATCGCTTCCACTCCAGCTCCAGCTCCAGCTCCACTTGCCGCCACTTCAGCGGCTCTCCACTCGAAGGAAGGGCTGGCTGCTCGGTTTGCGGTGCCGTGCCTCGAGTTCGTCGATAATTGGAATTTACGACTGTGGCATAAAAAAGAAAGCGGCAGAATACGGACTACAAGGCTGCCAGGATATAGCAGCCACGGCACGGGCTCGTCGTTGTTGTTTGGTGACTCGTGCCGCAACCCCATTCCCAGTATTGTCCCAATACCATCCCAATGCCCCTTAACCCCGGCTACCCAGTCACTGCCACAGCCCTTCGATGATGGTGCCGTGTAAATATTTTTTTGTCGTCCCTCCGTGTGCGGTTCAATTGGCCCTGTCAGTGGCAGGCGCGCTGATTTGTTATGGTAATAGTTGTCAAAACGAGAGGAGATTCGAGAGATCCTCGGCGGCACTTGATTACCCTTGGCCACAATGACAAACGTGCGGATAGTGTGAGCTTAACGAAATCAAAACTAAATTGCAGCAGGAGGTGCGAACGTAAATCTTGGCCAATTAGGTGTGCAATCAGTTCTGTGCGAGTTTCGAGTTCGTTAATAGTTACGGTTTCGATTTCGAGTTCCTAACCATATATCTCTCGGTTTCATCGCAGATTCCGCTCAGACGGCGTGTCTGTGGCTCATTAGAAGAAACTAGCCATTAGCTGGCCGAAACAAAAACAAAAAAAAAAAAAAAAAAAAAAGAACCCAATCCTAATCCAAAGCAAAACCAAAGTCAAGCAAAGCAAAGCAAACTAAAGCAGGGCAATAAAAACAACATGGAATATTGAATGAAATCGGCTGGCATATATGCACATACATTAGCAGGTGAGTTATCTGGCTGCTTATTTTCCTCAAAATTTATGCTCATGCATATCTGCATAATCGCAAATTAAGCTACATAATTAATAAGCCAGGAGCCAGCCTCATCGCTGTCACTTGGCGTTGATGTAGCACTTTGGGGAGCTATCAACTGCCTTTTGCCTCTGCTGCTGGGCACCTTTTTACCCACATATCGGCATATACTATATAGTCGGCATACTATATGTGTACGTGCCACTGCTTTCCGAAAAGTATCGATGTCTGTAATCTTAATTAGCAACACCACAGCAACCGGCAACAGAGACAACATCGACCAGCCACCGGGGCCCACAAACATCTTTTAGCATTTCAGGCGTGGCGTATCCGTACACTGCTGCCTTTTCCTCAGTTTTTCTCTGCACTGTGAAAAAATCGTGGCTTTAAACTAATTGCTACTCATTTGATAAACTTAATTATGGTCAATTTGCTGCTAATACCAATCAACAAGCTTTAACATTTTCCAATAAACAAAATCATATGAAAACATTTTTTGTTCATACGCAGAAAGAAATTCTTCAAATTAAGCCACAAATCATTATTTTTAAAAAACAATTTTTAAAATAAGAAATCTGAATGTTTTATGTACGTGGAAATTAAATTAAAAAGCTTATAAGGTTTAATATATTTAAGCAATGTTATTTACCAATTTGTTTTTTTTGTATTCTAATATTTTTACAAAGATTTATATTTATATATATAATTTTATTTTATAATTCCTACAATCTTTCATTTATTAAAAAAAATTATCCTCGAGTGACACGAGGACAATATTTCTGCGAGTGTGGGTGTCTTTTTTCTGGGTGTTTCTCACAAAAATCACATTACAACGAAAGCCGAAACCGGTTTCGGTTGATTTCTTGTCATATTTCGTGTAGAAGCTAAAGGTGTTTTGTACAAATGGCCAGCAAACTAAACAAACTTTAGTCGCCGGCCAACTCGCAACCGGCTGCCCATCAAAGAGTTATTTATATTTATTAATGCCGACGATGAGTCCGAGGAGTCCAAAGCCCCACTTATTCCCCCTGAAAGTCGAACGACATCCCCAGTTGTAGTTTCTTGGCGTATGCAAATATCTTTGATCTGCTTTCAGGCTGAAAAATTCGCACCTCCATGTGCGAACAAAGCGCCCATGGGGCCTTCGATTTGAGTGCATAGGAAATCAAGTTTACGACTTCTGCGGATGGGTTGCCTCTCGCTAGAGAAAGGGTAATATATTTAGCGGGGGCTGACGGTTTAATTGCTTCCATTAGAAATCGCTTAGCAACTTTAAGTGGCAGCCAGCGGACGGAAATTGAAATTACAGGTGTAACTATAAATTCCTGTTTATGCGATTTGGTGGCTATGATTTGTTGGCTCTTTCAAATTCGAATGCGACACCTTCAATCAAACAATCGGAAAATCGCTTTGTTTGTCTAACAACCGCTTTTTGTGAGCTGGAAATATTATTGCATTATTTGTAAAGTAAAAACGAAATAAATAATTAATAAATCAACGCATCCATTGTTTATTCTCTGTGGCAATAAAAACAGATAAAAGCTAATGAATTTTAAATAGCGAAGAATTCAAGTTCATTGAGATAACCGGTTCTCTTTGGTGGGGTCAGTTTGTCAGCACTCAAAATATTTTGTTGGAATTGACCAAAAGTGGTTAACAAAGGGAGATCTAAAAGGCCCACAAAGAGGTATTTGTAATACCCTTGGAAATCCATCAAAGTAAAGGTAGTTGGGTGATTTAAAAGATACATGTAATTAAATGGCCAGTTGATTGATATGATTGTATATCATTTTAATTTTGAATATATTACTACTTGCCATAGTTCTCATTGTACTTTTGGCTTTTATTTTTTAAAAGAACTCATAAGACCCCTGAGCAGGGTATTTTTGTACACCAATCCCTATTAAAACCGTTTTGAATCTCAAGTCTCGGCCAAGTGTTTGCCTATCACATTCATAGGCAAATTGCGGATGGCATATTTATGAGGAGCTCTTTTTTTTCGAACCAGGGGGAAATGGAATATAGTAATAATTAATTAAGTTATAACATTAAATGGCCATAAAGGGGCATTAGGCCCATAACTTTGAGTGGACATATGAGCATGAGCTATGCCACTTGGCTGGAATCTCAGATATTCGTTACCCAAAGACCCATAACTCTTTTCCCCTTTTGTTATCGTAGAGGGCGATCTTGGCCATAGAAGGGGGCATCTTGGCCTTATGCCTGGCTTTTTGCCCCGTTCGCATTTTAGCCATCATCATATTTTACGACTCCAACTGACTAGCCAATCAGGGACATACTTTCTCGGCCACAGTCCGCACATCTCACTTCGCATTTCACGTCTTGTCAGATTTGATTTTTGGTTCTTGGCAATGTCAGCCCTGTGCCAAACAAATGACTTCACATTTTTAAAGACATTACGTTGACACACAACGCCGCAAATTGTGTGAGTCGACCGCAAATGCGTCATGAATTCCAACCTGGCCATGAGCTAAGAATGCCATTTGTTAGATGAGGTATGAATATTTCTAAGAGCCGGCATTCGTCGTGATTACCTCAATAAAACTGTTAGTTACACTTAACCGACTTCCTAAGAGACTTATAAAATTGCGAAAATGAGTGGGACGTGTTGATCCCAGAACGCATTGTTCTCTTAAATACGTTTGATTTATTAGCGAGATGAATGGAATTGACAGCGGTTATTAATTGTGATTCCGCAGACAATGGACACGTTTAACAAAAAAAATTATTTAAATTTATGCCCTTGAAGCTGACCAAATTAAGTTTACCAATCGCGTTGATCAAAGGGGTCAATCGTTCTAGTAGAGTTTTGCATATGATATAGATTTTGAAAGCAACGTAAAACACTTTCATTGCAAATTGAGTTTTCGAATTGGGACTAATTTATGCCTGGATTCATATCTTAATTGCTGCTCCTCACATGAATATTTGGAATGTTCCACTTCCATTGAAGGTTAATGGAGTTGAAGGTATTAAGTTCTATGCTATCTGGGCCACAAATATTATGATTTCTAATTATTCGCAGAGGCCAAATAAATTTAGGTTACCGTTTAAATTTTAAAGGCTCATAGACCAAACAAAGTTCTAAAAATTCGGGCATATACGTTTCTACTAGCCGAGTTTAAATTATCTAAAATATTCATTAGACATTTAAATTTATGTGCATTTCAATTTAAACTCACATAGTTTTTTGGCAGCTTCCAGTTTATTAGTTCCCATCGTGACAGGCAGGAATTTACAAATTTATTTCCGTAACCAAAAATTTGATGTGATTACTGTACTTAAAACTACAAAGGGAATATAATTAATGAAAATTGTGGGCATTGCTAAAATAATTTTAAATAAATAATAATAAATAATAATAAACCCGCTAAAAGGAAATGAATTAAAGGCATTAATGAAGAAACAATTATTTTATTTAATTTCGTGTTTCCTTTTAAATTTTATTTATATATACAACAAGTTAATTATTAAATTATTTGTTATATATATGAAATAAAAAATGGGGCTAATATATTATTTTAATTAATTTATTAAACTAAAGGTGTTTTGTTTTGTGAAGATGTTTCTTAATAGAAAAATAGAAAAAACTGAAAATGATCAACTTTAAGAAATAGAAATCAACTAAATATTAGTAAACTAAGTATCAACGACTTTATCTTAGTGTAGTATCTAACTAATGCCTTGAACTATTGCATTGTGCAGCTAAAGGAAAGCCAATCGCCCCCGTTCGCCCACAAATTCCGCATCATGGATGAAAACGCGATAATCTATCAATGGCTATGAGAAAGGTCAAAGGAAAAGTCTTAGCAAGCGATAAGTTTGAGTAAAAGAGAAAGCGAAAATCATGCATCACGAGGAAACGTACCAAGTAGTTTGCCGACTGATTGAAAAGGAGGAGCCGGAGAATCGGGAGCAGCCCATCCGGAGAAGGGCCACCTCCCCCCATCCATTCCCCAGTTCCCATGCCTGGAGGCAGTTGCTCCTGCCACTGCTCATGTTGTCTGGGATCAGCCAGGTGTTTGGCACATACATTGAACAGGATGAACTCATGCAGAATCTGGACCGCCCCGTCCCCCTTCACCACCGTGCAGGGCGTCCTTGGGCGGCAGGCGATGCTGCCCTGCGACATTTCGCCCCAGGAGCGGGATGATGCCGTCTACATGGTCCTTTGGTTCCGCGAGGGCGATGGCGAACCCATCTACAAGTAAGTACAAAGACTGAAGAAATCTTAGACTATCATCTATTTTAAATTCAATACATTTTTACCATATAAATTTACAACCTACAACATAATTTGAGAAAAAAATAGATATAAAATCATTAAGCAACTATGATTTCAATCAAGAGATATTTATGTAAATTACCTAAAAGTTATATATCGTTTTTATTATCCGATTGTCTGTTCGTATTTATCAAAATAATGATCTTGTAAACTAAAAATTAAATTTCCATTGTATTTTTTCTTGAGAGTTTAATGTGCTTATTTAAATGTGTTTTAAATCCCTAACATTGCAGTTTCGATGTGCGAGGTCGTCAGTTTGGACAAGCGCGTCTGTGGTCCTCGCCGTCGGCCTTCGGCACCCGCGCCCACTTCAGCAGCACCACCCACCCCGCCCAGCTGAAGATCGATAACATTCGTATCGAGGACGAAGGCGTCTATCGGTGTCGCGTCGACTTTCGCAACTCGCCCACTCGGAATCTGAAGATCAACCTCACCGTCATCGTGCCCCCGGACAAGCCCATCATCTATGGTCAAAACAGGCACGAAAAGGCCGGAAATGTGGAGTCCTTCAACGAGGGCAACGACATCGTCCTGTCCTGCGAAGTCTCAGGAGGTAATGAAATTGCACTCTTAATATCTTTAAAATGAACTTAGAAAATAGCCCAAAAGAGATGCAAAAAAAAGTAACTATAAATAGGTTTGTAAATTTTAAGCCGGCTTAAAGACAAGAATTGTTTTAACTTAATGTTTAAAATTGTTTAATTTTGAAACTGAATAATTTATATACGTGTATTTATTATTCATTTAACCTACTAAAAATCCAGGACGGCCGCGACCCAATGTCACCTGGTACTTGGACAACACGGCCATCGACGAGTCCTTTGAGCAGCGGCCCGATGGCAAGACCATTAACCACCTGAGCTACCCAAATGTGGGCAGGCAGCACCTGAACTCGCGGCTAATGTGCGTGGCCAGCAACACGAACTTGACGCCGCCGAACAACAAGGTCGTCATCCTGGACGTGAATCGTGAGTGAATGGCCAGTGGATGCTCCGTAGTAGAGGTGCTAATAGTTCCCGTTCCAGTGAAACCCATCGCTGTGCACATCCTCACCAAGGATCGGTTCGTCTCCGCGGATCGCACATACGACGTGGAGTGCAAGAGCTCGGGATCAAAACCGCCGGCACTCATCACCTGGTGGAAGGGCACCAAGCAGCTGAAGAAGCTCACCAAGAACGTAAGACGAAACTCTTAATGAATGCGCCAAAGTTCCAAAGTTCATTAATTAAACACAAATTAATATTGTGTACTGTGTGTGCGGCGCTTATAATTGCCACAAATTTCCTTTCTATTTTCGCCGTTCTTCGCGTTGGCCTTGGATTTCCTTCAATTCACTTTCCGTTCCATTCGGTTACTTTCGGCCCGCTTCCGTTTCATTATTCATTTCCTAATGGACTCTGTTTGCGTTTCTTTTTTAGTTTAATGAACCCGATAATCAATCTCTAAGTATACTGACGTTTACGCCCGGACGCGAGGACGATGGCAAATATTTAACATGTCGGGCAGAAAATCAATTCATCGACGGCAGCGCCATCGAGGACAAATGGCGACTCATTGTCCATTGTAAGCACTGAAGGCAGTGAAAGCTGCGGCCATCGGCCATCGGCCATCGGCCACTGAGAGGGTGAAGCCTAATTGCAAAAAAATCGTTTCTCCCATGTGTCCACAGACCAGCCCACCACCACGCTCAAGATTGGCTCCTCGCTGAATCCCGACGACATCAAGGAGGGCGATGATGCGTATTTCGAGTGCATTGTGCTGGCGAACCCGAAGCCCTACAAGATGTCCTGGTTCCATAACGTAAGCATGTCCCTGAATAATGGCTCTTGAATATTTTAAGCACTGCGAAAAAGTGGGAAAAATGCATAAGCTTGCCAAAGAATATTTAAAACCAGATAACTAACTACAAAATAAGATAGTTATATGTTTTAAGACATACTTTTACACTAGTGACAAAAATAATTGCTTTCTGGATACAAACTACAAGTTATTTAAACCTAACTTAGTGTTTGTAATTAAAAAACAATCAAATTTTAATGGGTGTAATCTTTAGAACGTGTTTTTTTTATTGCAAGCTATAATTTTTACTTATAATTTAAATGATAAACATCATCGAGGCCAGTGAAAATAATTTTATTGGCATGCTAAAAAAGACTCTGCTACTTAGATGTGTAATATTATTCATACGCCCTGTGTGGCAGATATTTTCTTGTAATTAACTCCCAAGCTGATGACTGATTTCTGTGACTTTTTTCTCCCTGTGCAGGGCAAGGAGCTGCAGCACAACATATCCGCGGGCGTTATCCTGTCAGATCAGTCGCTGGTCCTGCAGAGCGTCTCACGTGCCTCGGCCGGCGACTACACCTGCCTGGCTGTCAACTCGGAGGGCAAGGGCCCCAGTAATCCGGTCACATTGCGCATACGCTGTAAGTAAATCGCAGCCAAATCCCAACCGTCTCCATCGCCTCCAATCCCCCGTCGCACATCGAAGTCAGCCAAGTTTGGCTTTGAACTAACGTCTCTGTAATTTCCAATTTAATCCTTGAGTTTGAATGGCTCTTAATGTATTTAGAGTACGGGGCTCAGTGTTATATTCTGGCCCCAAGCCAAGAACAAAAGCAGAGTAGGTGTGTCGTCCCAAGTTCCCTGCACAATGCCCCCCCGCCCAAACCCGCAGCCCTCACAACTCACGTTAATGACCAAGATTATGGCGCAATGAATGCATTGCCTTGGTACTTGGCCTGCCCTGCCTCTTCCTCGGAATTTGGGCTTCTGACTCTGGCACCGAATGATATTCCAAATGACCAGGAGACTGGGTTGGATTCCGCTAGATCGTCATGCCCAAAATGTGGCAGCCAAATTCGAAATTCGGTATTAATTCAGGCCCGTTAAAGGACCATAACACTGGAAAAAAATGTAGTTGTTGCATTAATAATTCTTGCATAATTATAAGAAGTTTTAAAAATGTAAAAGTTTAGCTTGTTATATTACTACAGCCACTTATTCTGCAATTATATATTATTTTATTTTTCAAATTTTAAATACTTCCTCTTTTTACCCCAATTGTTTTGAGTGCATTGCTAAAGTGAGAGCCTGCATTTCGTCAGTCGTTTTGTTAGAGCTGCTTGATAGGGCGTTAAATATTTCAATAGGCGTTCTAATTACTCACTTGCCATCGATAGATGCTCCGATTTGTGCCACGGACCACGAGGAGCTGTTGGGGGCCCTCAAGCACGAGACCCTGCCCCTGAAGTGCGAGGTGGACTCCTCGCCGCCGGCGGACTCCTTCCACTGGACCTTCAACTCGTCCGGCGAGCAGACGGAACTGCCGGCCCGCCTGCACTCCAGCGAGGTAGGATTGTCTGGGACACAGGCCACTTTACAGTTGCTAACTATCTGCGTATCTATATCCTTTTAAGACGGGCATGTCGCGATTGAACTACACGCCCAGCACGGACCTCGACTATGGCACGATATCCTGCTGGGCCAAGAACTCCATTGGCACGCAGAAGAGTCCCTGCGTATTTCAGATTGTGGCAGCTGGTAAGCACCGCACCGCACCGCACCGCATCACCATCATCATCTGCATTATCCCAGTTAATCGGGGCGAACGTAACTCTATCCGCAGGTCGGCCGTTTCCCCTGCAAAACTGCTCGGTGACCAATCAGTCGGTGGATTCGCTGCAAGTCGACTGCCTGGAGGGATTCGATGGAGGTCTGCCGCAGGGATTCATGCTCGAGCTGGTCGAGCTGAACACGTTGCGTCTGGCCAGGAACATCACGGTTTCGGTAAGCTGGGAATATTAATTGCCGGGTGAACCCATTAAACCACTTTATCGGGATGTTCCTCTAATCAATAGGGGGCTTACAAAAATTAATTGCCCTGAAGTGTTCGGCGTAGCAGTAAATAAGCGTAGGAAGATATTGCATACTTTAGGGCGCTTGATATAAATTTTCATTCTTCCTTAAAAAAAATATAATAATTGGAGGAGTTAATTATTTTAAATAAATAATGCTGTGGGCTTAAGAGCTTATTTGGGTTAATGCTTCTTATTAATTGTAATTGCCCAAAAACACGCGTTTTATGAGATGTATACTAAAATAAAAATTTGAAATAAGTTGTTATTCCTTACATTGTAGTTCTCATCAGTACTTAGATCTTTAATTTAGACAAGTTAGAAATTAAAAAGACAGTACTTAAACTTAGTAAGTTATTTCTTCGAAGTACCATTTATTTATTTACTGTAATAAAATACCATATGCTAATAATTTTTTCGAAAACTAATTGTTCTTTTGCTCATTTTTTATCCAAATTTATTTAGCACACGCCGGTGACCTTTATGATAGATAATTTAGACCAGGCGGCCACCTATCGCATGGTGATATTCGCCGTTAATGCCAAAGGTCGTTCGGAGCCCACCATAATCGACGACATCAACTTCAAGGGCGTGGCCAAGTTCACAGGTGAGTGGCGGGAGCGGAGAACCCCAGTAATTGGGAATTATGTGGCAATAATTAAATTGCGGACTCGCAGGCGCCTCAACTGGCCTCTCGATGCCCCTCTCCCCGTTCCTGGCCGGACTGACCCTCTTCTGCGGCCTGCTGTTCGCCATCTTCTGCATCATGCTGGCGGCCATCTACCGGAGGTTCTCCAATCGGTACGTCGGCTAACGGCTAACGGCTAATGGCTAATGGCTGCGGCTTTGCCCTAATGGCCTCATTTAAATTGCAGGCGCAGCGACAGCAATCTGAAGGTGGCCAAGCACACGCAGCTCACGATTCCGGCGGACTGCCAGCTGGACCCGCTGCATCCCGGGGTTCAGCCGGACGGATCCGGCAACCACCAGCCGCACCACAGTCTCCTGCCCCTCAATTGCGATGGTCGCAACGCGGTCGACTGCGCCGCCCTGGGTGACATGGGCGGGGGCGGGGGCGTGGGCGTGGGCGGAGGGGGCCTCGACGGCGGGATGAAGGGCAGCGCGTCCATTGGCCTGGTGGCCATGTCCGGCGACACACTCCGCTCGACGGCCAGAACACGGCACAGTCCCATGGCCGAGCAGGCCGACATAGACGACACCGATCCCGATGTTATACCAAATCAGTATGGTGAGTACCATTATATATCGATATTTTATTTAGAGGAAAAATACATTATTTTACCAATAAAATATTTATGTAGTTAATAATAATTCTTTGAAAATTAAATTCGTATTTACAGTCAATTTTGTTCCTATTAATTAAGAAATTAATAGATCAGTTTAATTTTCTTTTAATTTAGTTCCTATGTCATATAAGCTTCTAATAAGTATAAAAGAGTATGGCACTCTGTCTTAAAGGTACTTTTCAAGGTACCAGCACTTTCGGTCCAGCTAACGTTTCATTATTCATTCAGCTTCCTTAATTAATGCACTTGCAGAAAAACGTCCGCTGAAGAGCCTGGTTTCCCCGCCGGGTTTTGCCAGCCCCTCGAATCGCCTGATGCAGCGCGATTACCTCCGGGAAACGGAGCTCACGAAGGGCGGTGGCGACGGGGGACTGGGGGCAGCGGAGGGGCTGTCCAGCATCGGACTGATGAGCAGCTCCGGGAACGAGGTGCTCCACTACACCTTCCGGCCCAGCAAGCAGATCGTGAGTATAGAAACCTAAAACTAGAGCTGGCAAACGTTCGATATGTTAATCGAAATAATCGGTTGTTAACTTATCAATTCCAACGATAACTCTGAATTTGAATTGTCAATATCGACAGTTTGCCAGTTTAGGCTTTGAGCTTTGGGTGTTGGTTACATCATGCCCTATTTCATGGTCTTCATCTTGGGCTTTCCTCTCCTGCTTTCTTTCCAACAAAAAACCAAAAAAAACCACGCAGAGCTATGCTACACTGAACAAAAAGGGCATCACCACCTGCAGTCCGCCGCTGGGCTCGCTGAACTACAATGTGAGCACCTCGACGCCCTCATCCTCGTACCACCTGACGCCGCAGCCCATGGAGGTCAGTTTGCTGAGTCCAAACAATCCGTCGGTGACGTCATCGCTCAGCGAGTACCGATTTCGCACCGGGCCGGAGATCGTCACCACCTCGAATCGCATACAGGAAAGTTGTATATAAAGCTCTCACACCCATACTTACTTCTGAGTGTACAAAAAAAACCAAATGATATAGAGTGGCAAATGTATTAATACATGAGTATCGTACCGCATCGTATCGAATAATATCCTAGCAGCTAGACGTATTTATTCGCATGGTTTGAGGAAAGACTTCTTCTAGCTCGTAAGCATCTTGTGTACTTAATGCAATGCCAAAAGTGTAACTGCAATACACTCGTTTTGTAAATAATCGTTGTCATCTGTTGTTGTAATTAAGCCCGATAAGGAATATTCTCGATGGAAGAGAGATGCGAACACGAAACTACTTCTAAAGAACATATCGTTTAACGTTTCACCCACACAACATATCCTATATCCTGTGTACCCTATCCTATTCCCCACGATTCCTTGATTCCGAACAAAACAAACGCTGTCAATTTAACATATCGCCGACATCCTAACGCTCGCTAAAAGCTAACCCGAGGTCATTGTTGTGCGTTTAAAAGCAAACTGAGCAGGCCGATTGCAACTAATTTACGCCATATTTAGTATACCAATAAACGTATATATATCCATTTAATCTGAACAGGACCTGCACTCTTCCAGAGTTCCCGGCAGAGTACTGCGGGAGTCGCATTTGTGAGAATATCATGTCCATATCCTCTATGAAAGTATTACCTATTGATTTTCGTTTCGATTAACTCGAGTGTTTAAGTGTAGCTACCACATAGGTGTATTTAACTAGAACTAAGTATATTTAAGTAGCGGTCTAAGCGATATGTACATACATGATAATACATTACAGCGGGCTGGGATTCCGACATTCTCCCCGTAATTTCAAATTGTCTAACCGCTCCGAACCGACAACTGTACATAGGTCATAATTTATTGTGAGGACGAAATGCCGTTCGCTTCGATGTATGTTGTGTTGCCCCCATCTAGGAGTAAATTAAGCATTTATAGAACAATTGCTATGCCGCAACATATGTACAAATCTTCGGAGCGATCCGGAGGGAGTGTGTCCCTTCCAGAGCCTCGCCATTCGCCATTCGACATTTGGAATTCAGAATTCAGAATTCTGAATCCAAAATTAAGTAATCAGCAGCGGCGCCAGCGTTCTTCCCTGGAGCGGACACCTTACAGCTTGAGGATAGTATATGTATCGGAATAAAAAATGTATGTATCTTAGAGAATTGCTGCCACTTAATCGCAAAATGTACGCGGGGGCAGGCTCGATACTCGTGCGATACGAACAGCAAACGCAAAGATTAGTATAATTTGTCAAGCCTAGTTTTTGTAACTATTAGGAGAAATATTAAATACAATTAAATTATAACTAAATGGAATCAAAATGGGAGTCACTTTTTCACTGTTGGACAACTCGCCGCTTTAATAAGCACTTGGGCAGCAGGAGGTATTGCGGACACGAACCTAACTCCTGCGGCACTAGTACTTAGGAAAGCGAACTTGGTAAGTATTAGCTGCCATCTATATCTATTCCATATTCACCCTTGATCCGTGCGCCTTGATCTCCGATCTTGTTATGCTCCATAATTCCAAGCTCTGCAATGATAAATCAATTAGTGTGGAATTACTTTCTCTGGATCGCTCACAAAATTGACAGCTTGAAGATGCCTCCATCCGTTCGAATGGATATGTGTGTGTGTTTGTGCAAGGTTAATGTATTCCGAACTATGCACTTCATCGTTTAGTTTTTGAGTTATTAATATCTGTACGAGATACTTAACCTTCTGTGGCAGCTGTCTCCTCAAAATGTTTTCCTCCCCCGAAAAATATAAATATATATCGTTCAATTTCAATTTCCCCCCTCTCTCTTTCGCTTCACATGTAGATGTGTATCATTGCACGTCGTATACGGCTAGTAACCTCTTGCACATAATACATAAGTTTATTAAATTTAAATTGGCTTAATTGACCCTCATTCGTTTTCCGTTGCCCGTTGCCCGTATTCGCCGACAGCGTTCAAAATTGCTTCATGACAGACGACAACGACAACATTGCTGATGCTGATGTGGCTGTGTTTCTGTGAGTCTGCGAGTTTGTAGGTCTGTGTTCGGCTGCCTTCATTGCTGGAGCATTCAAAGTCAATTGAATTTAAACGAATAAAACGAATAAAACTACGTACAATGTGGCTGCTACACAGTCTTATTGTTGCCGCATCGCCCGATTATGATTGCTGGTTGCTGCCGGGGCAGAAGCGTCAAGTACTTGTCAAAAAAGCAGAAGAGCTCTCGCATTCAACAATTTGTCAGCGCAAGATGCACAAACGGAGTACAATAAATAGCTCGCTGAATGCATTCATCAGCTAAATTAGAATATACATAGATTAATCAGAGCACAATAACACTTAGTTAAGTGAGTCCAGTTTAGCAGCAGTAGCTACCACAGCAACAATTGCCGTCGTTGAAAATCTGTTGCATTTCCTGATTTGCATTAACAACTGCCATTGTCATCGTAGCTAAATTTGATTGGGCTTAATAGATTTTCATCTTAAGGGACGTGAATTAGCTGAGATTTAAGTGAAATTAAATTTAAAGTAATTATATATATTTTTAATTGAGGAAGTTGCCTTGAAATCATTAACAAGTTTAGAGCTATCGCGTTTATATTTATCAGGAAATATAATATCTATTTACCTTTTGCGAAATTCTTTTGCAAGCCTTTTTAAGGCAAAAACTTACAAAAAAACAGTATTTTAATTCAAATAGTAAAATTGTTTCTAGGCTTTGTTTTGAGTTCCGCTTAACACTTTTAACACGTCATGGTAAGTTTTAAAAAGGCTGATATTATTTCAAACATAATTGGCAATATAAATTAGTATTATTTTACTCTTCGAATGCTTGTCCTTTTCTACTTTCAATTTTAAATATATGTATTTTAAATTTGATTTAAAGCTGCTGTTGCTAACTTTAAAATTTTATGAGGTTAGTAAAAAACACACCATTGTTTCTATCTGAGTAAAATGGAATTGTTTCGGGTTTTTTCGCTTTATCACATACATACTTATGCATTCCGGAGAATCGAAGAAAGAGAGTGGGTGTGAGATAGTGATCCGCACTCGGGGACGTCTCAACGCTTATGTTGCTGTTGTTGATGTTGCTGCTGTAGATGTTGCTGTTGCTGCTGTGTCTGTTGCTGTTGCCGCTCGACAACGAGAACGTTGATTGCGATTATCGCGCCTTGGAAGGGTCTTAACCCCGCTGGGAGAACTGACCAGTAGTCGTCGATCTCGAACATATATATGTGCTTTTGTCATACTTATAGAATTTATTATTATTGAGTATTTTAAAGGCAATGACAAGATTGTGTGAAGCACCGATTTCAAATACTCCTTGACATGGTGTTTTATTCATTTAGTTCACAGTGTTTTCGGGAGTCCAAGATCTGCGATCTTCAATCTGCGATCTGCGATCTGAGGTCCGAGTTCGAGAACGCGGAGAACATTGACGCTCGAGGGCGATTCCACAACTGATTTGTGCAGTGATCGCGCGGACAGTCGTTGGATTTTTGAAAATAACCATCAAGTCATTACTCTCCCAGTGTGTGTGGCGATGCGTGTGTGTGTGTGCGAGAGATCGCCCCCATATGCGTGGCGATTTGGCTGTGTGTTGGTGCGAGTCAATTCCGCAACAACAAGACCGATTTCCCCGCCCACTTTCCACTCGACACTTTCCACCCCGAACTGCAGTTGATTGCCAAGCTGACTAAGCCGGCCATCTGAACTATCCCGCATATAGTCGAATTGAAACTGAAATTGAAATAGAAGCACTCGCCTCGAAATAGCCGCCTCCCATTCATGTGAGATTATTTTATCGCACTCTCTCGCTCGTTACAGTTCTGCTTGTTTTCCATCTCAGATCTTAAATCACCATCGCCGGCGGTTTTTCACACGACCAGATTGTCCAGGCGCATCGCATAATAGATTAGGCTGGTCCCCTGTTCCCGGCAGGCCATCCCCACCACGTTCCTAATACGCTTGCCGGGATTATATCCATCTGCTGGCGAGATTCAATTTTTGTCCACTTCAGAGTCCGGCATTATGCACGGATGATGAAGTACGGCGATGATGTGGGTGCCTCGAAGGTGGCAAATAAATTACTGAGATTCCCATGTTCTCACACTCATGGTTTACTTAGTCTCTAAATAAATATCTTATTACGGTCAGTTGAGTGTTTTTCACTTAGGTATTTATTTAAACAGCCACACTTGCACAAACTATGGATACATTAGACATTGAAATAATCACATCTGCAAATCAAACTTCAAGTAATTAATAATCATGGTACACTTTTATGAGTAACGTAGCACTGGAATATAATATAATATAACAGTTTCTCTCGTTTTCAAATATCAACAAATTTAGTTATTAAAAGTTCAAATGTCAGTAATTATTTCCAATTATTCATTGAAACATTTTGAAGGCAAGTTAGCGCATCAATTGCTGAGCTTCCATCGACTTACAACTGCATATATGGACTCAAGATTTAATTTCTTCTGCATCTTCAAGTATTATGATGATTTAATAAGAAAGGCTAGCTTTAAATCACGGATAGAACAAATTTAACCATAAACTTTAATTGACAAAAATGTTCTAGCATTTGCAATAAAAAATAATTGCTAAATAATTAATGCATTAAAAAAAAGTTTATTTAAAAAAAGGGAAATCTTTAACCAAATTTTATTATTGTTTCAAACTAGGTCCAATGTTTTAAAAATATTTTAGATTTTTAATATTCTGTTGTTGTTGGAATATATAAATTGAGTGCAAAGAATTTATCAAATGATTTATTAATCACAATCCTCCTAATAAATATGTACAAATATGGATCTTTGGAAGTGGCCCGCATTGTGGAGCTGTCCTAAAAATTAAAACTTAACTAAACTTGTGATTGCTGGTCGCATTTACAAGTTCTCATGAACACACAGATTCGTTTCTGTGCCCTCACTTAGTTGAGCGAAGAATTTCAATTAATTCAATTGAAGCGGCTCGCCAAGTAGGTAGTGGGCACTGTCAACTGCCGACCGTCGTCCATTTCCATATCTAGTGTGAATTCAAGATTCATATCCATATGTATGTACAGCTTCCTTATTACGGCGCATACATCATCGAACAGCCCATGGAATATACATATATGTACATGTGGAGCACGTCATTCAGAATAACCGATTGTAAAACTCGAGAGCAGGACAAGTCAACTTAAATAGCTTTTATGGCTACCGCTGGGATCT